ATTAGACATTTCCAGTGTACATAACACATTTCCAGTGTACATTACACATTTCCAGTGTACATTACACGTTTCCAGTGTACATTACACGTTACCAGTGTACATTACACATTTCCAGTGTACATTACACGTTACCAGTGTACATTACACATTTCCAGTGTACATTACACGTTTCCAGTGTACATCACACATTTCCAGTGTATATTACACGTTTCCAGTGTACATTACACATTTCCAGTGTACATAACACATTTCAAGTGTACATTACACATTTCCAGTGTACTTTACACGTTTCCAGTGCACATTACACGCTACCAGTGTACATTACACGTTACTAGTGTACATTACACATTTCCAGTGTACATTACACGTTTCCAGTGTACATTACACATTTCCAGTGTACATTACACATTTCCAGTGTGCATTTCACATTTCCAGTGTACATTACACATTTCCAGTGTAAATTACACATTTCCAGTGTACATTACACATTTCCAGTGTACATTACACATTTCCAGTGTACATTAAACTTTACCAGTGTACATTACACATTTCCAGTGTACATTGCACGTTTCCAGTGTACATTACACATTTCCAGTGTACATTACACGTTTTCAGTGTACATTACACATTTCCAGTGTACATTACACATTTCCAGTGTACATTACACGTTTCCAGTGCAGTGTAAAATGTACAAAGAACGTGTGAATGCACTAACTTATGTAAATTAGCAAAAACAAATATTTGTTTGTAAATTACAACTCTACAAAATATTTATTACCGGTCCACAGATAGACAACCTAAGTATGCAGAGATAGTACAGGGTTATTCACAAAGAATGGGACTTCAGAGACGACTTTTTGAAAGATATACTGTTTGCTTCCTCAAAATCATGATTCCCAACAACTGTAATATTGTTTCTTTCTTTGCCAAATAATTTAATCAGCCTTTTTTGTTACTTTACACGAGCCAGCAGTAGACTTAATTCAACCTTCAAGTCTTTACAGTCTCATCCTTTGTGGGTAACCATGTAGTTCAATATAAGCAAAAGGTTTTAAAGAACAAAAAATTACTAAAAATTGGCAACATTCTAAGAATGCTTAATTTACAAAAGTAAGTATGGTTACCAAAAGAAGACGAGACTTTAATGTCGATTTAAAAATCCAAAAATATAACGATTTGTCTTCTGCTTTTTATAATAATAATCGTGTCTTAAAACTTAATCGAAATCCATGAAATATGAGTCAAAAAGTGGTGATTGGTAAAACGATTGCAAATGCATAGCCTTTAAGGACAGAAGCCAAAACTTTTCTGCAGACCTACGGTTTAATTAAAAGAATTGATAGAAAGTTTTCGTTTTAGAAAAATGTGAAATGTATTTTTAAGAAATTGGTTGTTGGTCAAGGATCTTATTTCAAGTTCACGATTGTATAAAGGAAAACATGGAAATGTACTAAATGGTGATTAAAAAGTGTTTTAGCCCCGCCCNTTGAAACTAAAATTTGATTATTTAACCCTGACGTAATCATTTCATAAATTAAAGGGATTGCAGACTTAATTTCAAAGTGACCCGCCATTTGTAGAGTATGGCATATCCGACTTACAACGGTACCCTTTAAACCTTAGTGCTTGCGAGGATCTAAAGCCTGAGAACTGATGTAGAGTGGCATATCCGACTTACAACGGTACCCCTTTAAACCTTAGTGCTAGCGAGGATAACGTATATATATTGTTACCATTCTAAAGTGGTATGAAATAAAGGAAATCTAAAGCCTGCGAACTGATGTGCGTAAATCTACAGAGTATAGGAAAAAATGTATTTACAAGTAAAAAAATTAAAAAAAAAATGATACTAATGAATCATAGAAACCCGGAGCTCTCTGGCAGACTCTCCCCCTTTCATTAGCCATGTACAACGAGTTAATCTTCTGTCTTCCGATCCTTCCTTAAAACTAAGTTTCATTTCGGGTTTAGCTCAGGCCGATCTTATTTCCTCCTACCTCATGTCAAGCCGTGTTTCATGCCTATTGGCTTGAAATTAAAATAGAATTCCTGGTCCAGCGGTGGCTCCGGTTTTCCATTTGTCCAAACATGCGTTCAAAGCATGTTTTCTGGGTAGGCATCTTTTAATGGATAAGTTTCTCTACATGATATAGATGAAGCAAGCTATTGTTGACTACAGCTTATTTATAAGTAAATCTCTCTCCATGCTTACAATATTCTTGTGGTGGGAGAAAATTAAGTTCCAGAAGACTCGGGGTTTAAAAATATATACTCCATTCTGTAGGGCATGCAGATGCCTTGCACTGTTGTAAATCAGACTTTCCCCTCATTAAATGGCGGGTCACTTGAAATCACATTAAAAGTCCCTTTAAATTTAATTTCTCCTGCATAATTCACGAAGAGGCCGCCATTTTTGGCACACAAATAGTTCATACTGTAGTCTGTCATGGAGTTAATCTTTTTATTTAATATTGTTCAGTTCGTTGAAACATAATTATTCATGAAATCAGTTTACCAAAACATTTCATGTAATACTGCAAGGGTTAACTCCAGAATTTATTTTTACAAGGTGTTCCGTCCAAGATTAAGATGAAGAGAGAACCATGGGCGTTTATATAAAGAAAAAAATCTAGGGGGGGGGTGAATTTCCCCCTGCCCCCATGGAGCTCCTGGGGGGGAGGAAAATTTTAACTGTAAATTCAAAACATTTAGCTTCTTGGATATCAGGCATAATGATATAAGATACTTATAAGGTATACACACAGTCTAATTACCTGCAAGTACTACTTATCTCTCCTTCAAACAAAACTAGCAGAAGAAAAGCATGTTGCTCAAAATTCTATATTTTATCATATGTTATGTTACAGTGATAACCAGAAAACACTAGAATAGGAATACGACTTTTCAGACATACTGAAGTCAATTTGACGTTGTTACAAAGCAAATAGCTTTACTTGTAAGTAATCTAAGCACTTATAAGTGAAATGGGTCTGTTTACCCTGCACAATTGCTGTGTCTCACGTTCATTGGAATATTTAAAGTCATAACTGGAGTCTCAGGGTCGACATCCTATTCCAGAGTTGTCTGGTTATTACTGTAGTATCTTCTAGATTTATAAAATTGTAATCTCTGTTTGTTGGTCCGATCATGACTCATGACCGATTTGCCTCAAATTTTGTTTGGGGAACTCGGGAGATCCAAGGGAATGTTCTTAGCTATGTTTTGAGATTCTAAATTGAGTTAGTCGACTTTTACACTTAAGAGGGAAAAAAAGCAAAATCATAATATGTGATAAAGCCAGGGTAAACGGTGGGACTAATAATGACAACGCTGGGTTCCCAAGCTAGTCTAAAATAGAGATAGTAAAAGACATTGTGTAATTTTCACAATGTCTTTTGCTATCTCTATTTTATAGACTAGCAAAACTCAACAAAAACTTAAATACAGAGCTTCGGCCAATCAAACTCCCAGTTATAACCAGCAAACCAGCAACCTTTTTTTATGTTCTTCACTCTAGAGTTTAAGATTTGAAAAGTGTGATAGCTTTGAGTTCTAGGGAGGGTTAGACACTGCTCCTCTCCCCCCTGTACACGCCCTTGCAGATAACAGAATTACTTAAAATAAAAATTAAGTAAAATGAACCATCTTTATTATCAACGGAGAGATATCACGCCAAACTGAAGTAAATAATAATTTAATGATAAATGATATAATAAATACGTGTTTAATAAACTTTTACAATAATAAAACCAGAGAACTCTGAAATAGGAAAACGACATTTAACTCAAAATTAGGACTTAAACTCAACTAGTTCAATGAACATTAGACATGTAACTAGGCCCATTTCACTTAAATAGTGCTTTGTTAAGTTGTTTGCAAATGATAAGAAAGAAAGCTAATTCGAAAAAGAATAAATAATTATTTAAACCACCTTGGACATTTTTCGTTTTAAATAACTTCCTTTTTTTGAGAGATAAACATTTAAGATTTATGATCTCTTATTTATGATTTATGAATTATGAGGAGACACCGAAGCAGATGTCATGGATATTAGTAATAATTTTAAAGATGAGAAAACAATTTTAAGAGATATTTCAGTTCAGGTCATTTATTCAATACTATTTTTGTTTTATCTTTCATTCCTTTATGCTTTTATTTCATATCATGAATTTCTCCAGGCCCCCATCCAGGAGATTAGGGGGGGGGGCGTGGGCCCAGGCCCCCCTCTAGTTCGCCCCTGCGGCCCCAACGTTTATTTTTTGAAATTTACAAAATGATCAGGGGCGTACAAGGGCTTTTGTTTATGGGGGCCACAAAAAAATTTGTGGGTCCCCCCCCTTGGCAAGATTGTGCCCCCCCCATAGGTACGCCAATGTGCCGGTGGCCTGAGGAAGGGAAATTCAAGCAGATGTAATATTAAAAGAGCCTCCCCCATGGGTGCCCCCCCTCAGCCTCTCAGGGGGGGGGCACGCGTAGAGGGGGGCGCGGCCCCCCCTCGTACGCCACTGAAAATGAGTGGTGCGATACGGTCGTACAGGGTGTCCCACATCAAATTAGACCGCATCAATGGGTCTAAATTACGATTTGGGGGACAAATCAGAAAATTTAAGAAGAATGAATCATTTTGAAAAATTTAATAAGGCTAATAGAATTTTTTTTTTGCAGAAAATGTTAGATTTTTTTAGTATAATGTGCGTATTTAGGTGTTAAAGATTGGAGATAATGTAATATGATATGGGACGCTCTGTATGTAGATGTATTCATTCTTCTAATCTACATAGAAATTAATTTTTGGTAAGACGACTTTTAAAGCTTTTGTCGATATTAGGAGCATGCAACTCTGATCTAAAGCATTTCTTTGAAATCGATTTCGATTATTAGAATCACGACAAATAAAATAACACACATATATTTCACAAAATTTGATTTTTATTATTTCTTTAATTGTATTGCACTATAACTATACGTTTAAAAATATAAGTTGCATCATCCTTATGTAGTGTACACTAATTTGTAAATAAACAGTGATGATTGAATCGTTAAGAGACAATCAAAAAACACTTGAACCAGAACAACTGAACTATGATCAGTCTTCCAGTCCTCTAGTCCTAATGAAGACTGTTCCCTAGTAATGCCGCTAAAACAAGATCGTCTTATTCCCTTCCTTTGTCTGTGTTTCATTAGGATTGAATTCTGATTAAATAAATGTATTTTTTATTGTTTTAATTCGGCCTCAGCTCATTACCTACTAAGGTTTGAAATGGGCTCAGGTGACAGGCTCATCAGGTCTTTAGTCTTACTCTTAAGAACCTATTTTCGGTGTTAGATCATTTCATAGAAGGATATTTTTAGAAAGACGTTTCATAGATGAACAATTTCAAAGAGAACACAATCAGAGATAGGAAATTTAATAGATAGGAAATACATAGTAAGAACATTGCATAGCCAAAAACATTATGTAAAAAGGACATATCTTAAATATTTCATTGATAAAGATTATGATTATAACAATGCATAACAGATCAACAAAGGTAATGTTGGAATGAAATAATTTACTCTATTTTTAAAAATTCTTCTTTGCCTTCAAATGTCTTTCTTGAAAATATCCCAATAAACTGGTTTTTGGCTGCATTTAAGTTCTTTTCTTTTTTCTTTTGACGTTTTTTAACACACTAGCCTTAGAGGGCGCTTCGCGCCCATCTTATAAATTAATTGTGAAAATGTTCTCTTTGTGTACATCGTAAAACAAAACAAAAATAATTCGCGGATTTTCACAAAAAATTTCGTGGATTTTCAAAATTTTCAAAAATTTAATGAAGATCGAATTTTGATGGAGACAAATATTTGAAAATTAGATCATTCATAAACCTTCCCTGTGGTCACGTGATGTCCCACAAAAAATTTGGGCCCGATCGGTTCAGCCGTTTTGACGTTTATTGGATACAAACAAACAGACAGACAAGCCAAATTTATATATAGATTGTATTGTATTGTATTGTATCACACTAGCCTTAGAGGGCGCTTCGCGCCCATCTTATAAATTAATTGTGAACATGTTCTCTTTGTGTACATCGTAAAACAAAACAAAAATAATTCGCGGATTTTCACAAAAAATTTCGTGGATTTTCAAAATTTTCAAAAATTTAATGAAGATCGAATTTTGATGGAGACAAATATTTGAAAATTAGATCATTCATAAACCTTCCCTGTGGTCACGTGATGTCCCACAAAAAATTTGGGCCCGATCGGTTCAGCCGTTTTGACGTTTATTGGATACAAACAAACAGACAGACAAACAGACAGACAAGCCAAATTTATATATAGATTAGTAGAATTTTCTCTCTGATTATTTCTAACTAGTATTAACATGGTGATCAACGAATTCTCGCTTCTATGTAACAGATGCAGTTTATATCAGTGTCGTAAACAGGAAATTGTACAAGGGGGCTTTGTTCTCTCCAGAGGGGGGGGGTAGTACCCGTTTTCTGTCCAGAAACCCCTAAGAGACCAGATATTTCATTGATCCAGGCCCCCTCCCTGTTGTGTAAATGCCGCTGGTGTAAATTGATAAATTTATTGTTTTGATTGATTTTGAATTCATGTTTGCCCAGTTACTCTTGTTGGCATTGCTTGTTGGCGGATTTAGGCATGGCCAGCATTACTTCAAAATATCTGGTCAAACAGACAATGATCGGACAAAATACATTTCAATACAAATTTGAAATCACAGTTAGGTAATATGGTTACAAGTTTTAAATTATTTTATCTATTAAATAAATTTTTTTTTACAACTTGCAAAGTTTCTGATTTTAAGATTAATATAAATATGTACAGCTACTCTTTCTTAAATCTTACTTTAATTTGAGCTCTTAAATATTTTGATTTAATTTTTTCAAGTTTATTATTCTAGGGAGTTTTGGGAGGGAATACAATATAATGATAAATTGCTGGATATCTTCCTGGATACTTTGAAGTCAAGTCAGTTCAAGTCTTTTTTCTTTGAGACTCCAAGTGTTACATCTAACCTACTAGAAAATAAGGTAAATAAAGTATGCAATTCTTGGAATGTTTGTATTTAAAATTTGAAAGGGTCACAAAACAGAAAAAAAGGTAATAAAAACTCTTTTAAATTCATATTCTTTGTTAATCAAGATGAAAATTCAGTTGAGGGGTTCACATCTTTTTTTTACGCAAAATGGTTCATCTCCTTCTGAAAATATTATATTTTTCTTCCTATTTTACTATAACGCAATGTTTATGTATACTAGAAATTCAGGGCGCTTCGCGCCCTTCTTTCTAGGCTTTTAAGGCGCTTCGCGCCCATCTTCTATTTAAACTTTTAATTGTGGCTTTATCTGTGAGCATATTCTCTTTGTACAGTATAAAACAAAAACAAAAAAAGTTTGCGGATTTCATAAAATTTTTTCGCGCATTTTCAAAATTTTACAAAAATAAAAAACTTTTAAACACAAATTTTTAAAATTTCAATCATTCATAAACCTTCCCTGGAGTCCCTAGATGTCCCACAAAAAATGTGGGCCCGATCGGTTCAGCCGTTTTGACATTTATTGGATACAAACAGACAGACAAACAGACAGACAAGCCAAATTTATATATAAATAAGACTGAAATATAATTTTTAGAAAACGAATGATTTTTGGTGAGTTGGAAAAAAATTTATCCTATTTTAAGCAACATTATTATCTCGTCATTACCTGATATTTAACCTTTTATCCAAGGGAACCATGAAAATATATTTGTGTTTGTCTAAGGATTCTACCTACTGAGTTTCAAATAACTTTTTCATTATTTTGAATAATTCTTGCTTGTTGCTCCTCAACAGATACACTGTGAGTTTCCAGGTTAATACCTTTAATACCTTTTGAACCAACCATTATGAAGTTGAAAGGACAGGGTTTGTAACAAAGGCTTCAAGGTCCCCATCCTCTTAAACTGCAGCTTTCTTCTTGATGTCAGTGTCATACGATTTTAGTAATGTTGTTAGCCGCGGAAACTTTTGAAGGTATTCCCCATATTTTCCTTTAATAACTGAGTTTATCTTAGAGTAGATAGTCCACAATGTAAAAGATGCAAGCTTGCGTTCATTCCGAAGATTGCGAAAGTAAGTGAGCAATTATTCCTCAGTAGGCATCTTTCCTTCGAACTATGCAGTATTCAGTATCGATGTTAATATACTTCTTGAAGCTATCCCATGCTTTAATATAGCTGTCACGACTATTTTCCCTAATCCCTTCAACAGATGTAGTCGGCGCAGTCTTGTCCATGTTAGAGCCAGCTTTTCAATGATTTGCGGATTTTCAAGAATTTGATTGCGAAGTTTGTATAAATGCTGAACATGCTTTCTCAGTTATAGTTTATCATTTATGAGAACATAAAATATAATGCTTCAAATTGTGAAATGTAATCATCTAAAATAATAAAATCAGTTAATAATGTTGCTTTAAAAATGGGATACAACTACATACATATTTAATCATAGCTAGAATTTCCTTTGGGACATGCATAGCTTTAATATCAATATATTCTGGTATCAAATTCTAAATTATCTGATATACCAGATAAACATGTATAATTTTAGTATGAACATATTCTGGTATTAGCTTCTCAATTATCTGATATACCAGATAAACATGCAAAATTTTAGTTTGAATATATTCTAGTATCAACTTCTGAATTATCTGATATACCAGATAAACATGTATTATTTTAGTTTAAATATGTACTGGTATTAGCTTCTCAATTATCTGATATACCAGATAAACATGAAAAATTTTAGTTTGAATATATTCTGGTATTAACTTCTAAATTTTCTGATATACCAGATACACTTGCATAATTTTAGTTTGAATATATTCTGATATCAACTTCTGAATTATCTGATATACCAGATAAACATGCAAAATTTTAGTTTGAATATATTCTGGTATCAACTTCTGAATTATCTGATATACTAGATAAACATGTATTATTTTAGTTTGAATATGTACTGTTATTAGCTTCTCAATTATCTGATATACCAGATAAACATGCAAAATTTTAGTTTGAATATATTCAGGTATCAACTTCTAAATTATCTGATCAATTATCTATATACCAGATACACTTGCATAATTTTAGTTTGAACATGTTCTGGTATTAACTACTCAATTCTCTATATACCAGATAAACATGCATAATTTTAGTTTGAATATATTCTGGCATTATCTACTCAATTCTATGTATACCAGATACACTTGCATAATTTTAGTTTGAATATGTTCTGGTATCAGTCCCCCAACTGTCTGGTGTACCAGAAGACAAAACAGCATTTTCAGAGCATTTTACAGATAGGTATATAACCAGATGGATAAAAACATTTGAAAATGTAAAACAGCTAGGAAAGAAAAAAAATCAAACTTCTTTTTAACTATGCTATTTTAAATATCTAAGTATTTCACACATTTAAAAATATTTGTTTAAAGTGATTCAGCTGTGAGTTTCCCAAATTTGGGTAAAGATGCAACACTAGTTTGTCCTGTGCCAGCTGTACAAAAACCGGTTTATGCTCATCTAGCATTGTTTGTAAACAACGCTCCAGACGCTCAGGTTAAAGGTAATGAAGCTATAGCTTGAACTATTTTGACCAAGGAACATATGGCGCTTGGTGCGCCTCTTTATGACAATTATAACAAAATTCTCCGATTTTTGTGAGTAAAAACTTTTGAATGAGATGGAGATCAGTTACTCAACCTCAGATCTAATACTTTAAAGGGAGTGTTCACGAAAAATGAAAGAGGGTATAGGATTATCGAAAAATTATCGATGGTGATCGCTACTAATCTTACTTCTATTTGCTTCGTCTATAAGGAGAAATATGCTAAAAACGACTTATACCAAAGAACGTAGCGTCCATAGAAATTCAGAAAGTTGCAACATTCGAATCAGATCTTAAAATAATCAATTTAATTCCAAAAAATCATTCAGATACTAAAACCTACAGTGAAACCCTTTATAACCAATACATCGAAAGAATTCATCAAATGTCGTATTCTTCACTTTCTGATAATGGAATGTTGCAGATATTTACTTTTTTAATTAAATGATTATATGGAACTCTTTAAAACTGTTCCCGCATATTCATGGCTATTTATTTATTTTCGCAAATACTGAAATTTACGAAATATAAAATAAAACTCATTGAAAAATTGTCAAGACGACATTTGATAAATTCTTCCGATGTATTCGTTATTAAGGGTTTCACTGTATAATCATCGATAATATTTCGACGCATTCATATATGGTTGATATTTCAAATTTTTTTCAAATTTCTCCTTAAAGACGCAGCAGATAGATAAGATTATTAGCGATCACCATCGATAATTTATCGCCGTAAGCCTATAATCCCTTTCATTTTTCGCGAACGCTCCCTTTAACCTATATGTTAAGAATAGTTTTAACTCCTTAAATAAGATATTATTTTAGCTTCAATTGATCAAATCTTCTAATTTTTTTCATCTAGTTTCCAGAGGAGACTGGACTTTTACTTGTTTTACATTACTTTAACCAATTTCGTTAATTGAATTGTTGTTGTTAATTAATTAATAAAATAGCACTTTAGCTTAAATCATGATTTAAAACCAACCAGGGCAACGCCGGGCACTTCAATGTTTTATAAACTTCAGTTATATAAACTTTAGTCGTTTTCTTCTTTTAAAAATTTATATCACTCGAAAGCTTATTATGGAATTTTCCAGTACAATTGAGTCTACTCCGGGTTTAAAACCTTTTAGGACATTAAAATTTGAATTTTAAAAAAATTCAATTTAAATTTTTTAGATTTCTGGCGCGTAGCAGGGAGAGTTGTGTTAGAAACTATCACCAGCAAGGTAAAACTTTATTGTTCTTTGGAAATCTTTTTTCTTTTTTCTTCTGTCAAATTACCATTTTTATTGGTTATTATAGACATTTTGGGTTTTCTCGCTACTTTTAAAGAAAAAAGAAAAATAGAAAGTTTATCTAAATTTTCAATAAATATTTATATGGTAAATTATAAAAATGGTAGACCAGGGAAATAAAATAAAACAAATTGTTTTTTAGAAAAATCATAAAATAGGTTAAAGGTTTTATAGTGCCGGTGCAGATTCGCCATTTGTTTTTTCAGTCTTATTTTTATAATTGTGGTTCCCTTCCCTGTACAGTTCAGTTATTAGTTTGTTCTTTCTTTTCCTAATTGTCGTTTACACCATTTGTAAAGAGTTTCGGGTTGTCATTAGATTCTCCTTCGAGGTGGGTAATACCGTAGCAAGACTTTTTCAAACTTTACTTGGTTCAGTCTCATCAAATTCTTTTACAGTCGTTCCATATATTAATACAATAAAGACGACTTTCTATTTCAATTTTGATTCATTTCAAGCTTTTAAACAGCATAGATACACATAAACATGGAAACAAAGAGAATCTGTCGATTACTTGTAAACTTTTGATTAGAAAGCAGCTTGTAAACTTAAATAAAAAATGCGTCTTCATTGCATTGATATAATCGCCTACAACTGTAGCTAACTTGTTTTTTTTTTTCTCAGAAAGGTTCTCCAGTTTGGATTTCTACATCAGGCCTTGGCATTTATTGGCTTCATCTTAGGTAGTATTAATAATATTACCCTGAATTTAATATTAAAGAAGACATTTTAGGATTTATTTTTTTTTAGGATCGACAGTGTGGCGAAATATTATCAGTTCCAACCATACAAAACAGAAGTTTACTAAAGGAATTGTTATTGTTGTATGGAAAATGTTGATTTTTTTTTTAATTTTTATTTTTATTACCAGAAATAAGGAACCCTACTTTTCCCTCATAAAACCTTGCAACATTTATCATTTTTTCTGTTACCAAGGAGGACGCACAGTTCAAAACTATTGTTGATTTGGTAAATACGTTGATGCACTATAAATAAATTGTATTTTAATTGTTTTTTTTCCTCACCTGTTTTGTAAATGAGTCTTTCTTAAATATCATTATTAATAAAAATATACATATACAATCTGTTTGTTATATATAACAAAAAAATTAAAATTAATTCTGTACATCATACGTCTCGGAAATTCCATACGACAATATTTGGGATACTTTAGCACAGTTTTAAATAATTTAAGAGTACTTAAAATAATGAAGAAGATTTTTGAATTGAAAAAATGGCATAACTTTGGTAGGGTTATGGATTTGTTAGGTTTAAGACTGAAGGCTGATAAATATATAAACACCCTGTAGAAACTTTGACATAAACATATGATATTATTTTCTTCAATGTTTAAGTTTGAATTGATGAAAGGAATTGACAGAAGAGAAATCTATCTTTAAACTATAGAGTTTATTTAACTGTCAGCGTGAAGATTAATATTTTCAACTATTTCATCTTTGGTTCACATTAAACTGAAAAATATTCATCTTAGCATATTTCGATGTTTAAAAACAACATCAAGTTGAGAAGTATAAGGAGTTATGAGGTTGCAAGTTTGCACTGGGGATTCCGAAAAAAAAACTTCTCTCATAATACCTTCTCCTTATGCCCTTGAGGTATTAAGACTTCTAATCCCTTATTCTTGTGTTGTATATAATTCCCTGTCTCCTTATTCCCGTGAGTATTGAAACCCCTACCTCCTTATTCTCGTGAAGTATAATTCCCCTACCCCCTTATTCTCGTTTAGTGGTGAAATCGAGGGAAGAGAAGAGGGAAGTAGTATTTAAACCCCTCTCCCCACATCTCAGTAGGATTAAAACCCCTATCCCCCGTCTCTTAGTAGTATAGAAAGTTGAAACCCCTATCCCCCAATCTCAGAGAAGTATTAAAACCCCTATCCTCTTATCCCCGTGTAGTATTGAAACCCCTATCCCCTTATCCCCGTGTAGTATTGAAACCCCTATCCCCTTATCCCCGTGTAGTATTGAAACCCATATCCCCTTATCCTTGTGTAGTATTGAAACCCCTATCCCCTTATCCCCGTGTAGTATTGAAACCCCTATCCTCTTATCCCCGTGTAGTATTGAAACCCCTATCCCCCCTTATCCCCGTGTAGTATTGAAGCCCCTATCCCCTTATCCCCGTGTAGTATTGAAACCCTGTAATATGTTTAGTTTGAAAAGTCTATTATGTTTACAACTGTTAGTTGGACTAGTTTCAGGTTTATGTGTGTATGTACACTGTACACTAGCATTCTACTCAGACTTTCTTAATAAATGTATTTCACACTCTTTCTTTAATTTTCTCTTTCTTTCGTAAATGTTTCCATATACTTCCATATACTTCCATATACTTCCATATACTTCCATATACTTCCATATACTTCTGTATACTTCTGTATACTTCCATATACTTCCATACTTCCGTATACTTCTATACTTCCATATCCCTCCCCCTAGACTTCTTAACTTAGTTTGAAAGTTCCAAGCTGATTGGGTCGACTTATTTTTTAGGCAACGCTGGGTTCCAAGGCTAGTAGTATATATAAGTATATATATTTATAAAGATGGATGAATACATGAATAGAATATAGATGGATAGTGTGTATCGTATATTAGTACGTATTATCTATGAAATATACAAGAATATATAAATATATAAGTATAGTACAGTATGTATAGGTGGATGAATACATGTATAGAATATAGATGGATAGTGTGTATTGTATAGTAGTACATATATCGATAAAATATACAAGAATATGTATAAGCGTTGTACAGTATGTATATATGGATAGTTTTATGGATGCCAGGTTTGAAATTTTCCCATAACCTAATTTTACTAGAAACGTGTTTTCTATCAGAAATCATGTTATCGATGCAGTTCAAGATGCAGTTGAAATGCAAATAAATATTGTCTCTTTTGCAAAAGGTGCATCTTTATTTCTGAAATACATTTTATTTTCGTTACATTGCATTTTATTTGGCTTTTAAAGAACCAGCAAAAATCGATTAAAATTGTTTCATTCCAATAACTAGATTTTGAAAAAGGAATGATCATTTTAATTGAAAGGAACTGAGTTGTTGCCACAAACTCTGATTTTCTAATCCCTATATCTGTAACCCTTTGTTGTAGACCTTAGATTAGAACAAAGAACGTAAATTTGAAATAACAAAGGTTTACACGATCAGAAAAAATCCTCCCTGTCAGGGGTCGAATAGTTCAGAAAAAATCCCCCCTGTCAGGGGTCGAATAGTTAAGAAAAAATCCCCCCTGTCTGGGGTCGAATAGTTCATAAAAAATCCCCCCTGTTTGGGGTCGAATAGTTCAAAAAAAATCCCCCCTGTGAGGGGTTGAATAGTTCAGAAAAAGTGTATTTTACAGTTTTCCTGTCAATAAGAATATAAGATAATACAGTTTTGGGTAAACTTGGATAGAAGGAGAATATACTGTACTTTGTCAGGATACAATCTTTCTATCAGAGAACTCGAAAAGATTTGGAATCGTTTTTAGACGTTATTTAAACATTTGGGATATTAAGATTTGACTCCCTTCAAAGGAATTGAGTCTTTGCCGCAATCTCGGATTTTTTAATCCCTCTATCTTTGCAACCCAATCTCGTAGACCTTAGACATTTAAAACTATGAATTCTGTTAGATCAAATGATTTAAGTTTGACATATCAAAGATGTAAATGTGGTATCTGGGAACCACAAATACGTGCATTGAACTGGTATCTAAAATCTACACTT